TATCTCCAGTTGGGAACAATGCATTCTGTGAATAATTCCCATGGTCAAGTTGAATAAAAACAATACCTCGTTAGATCTGTTGAACTGAATAAATGAACTGAATATCGATCGATTCCGTAATATTGACGGATCGACAGATTCGGCAATTCAGCAGTAATACCGATTGATCCGGCATACCGATCGATCCGTCAATTCAATTCGCGTTGGCTTACCATGGCTCAAACAATTGCCTCAACAGGCGCATCAATCCCATGGTGAAAGCAACTAATTTCGATCTCCCGGTTAGATCAGTTAACAAAGTAAAACTAACAAYGATTAGTACGTGGTTATTACACTGCAAAAATCAAAGTAATGAGCAACGAGTACGATACTGTAGCAGAGCAAAGGAATGTTGTTATACACGTTACGCCGTGTTGTTTCCTAATTTCCTGATAGTAACAATGAGAACCGGGATTAGAAGTATACCAATGAAAACCGGGATTTCAACGGAATTCATAGTAAGCACGTGTTATGCAATCCCACAAACGGGGTTCGCCTTCAAAACACATGCATTGATCGGCACTCACATGCATTGGTTGCATCATACATCATCTTCATTACATTATATATTTCAACTTCGCATTGTTCCATCTATGCGCTTAAGATATTTGTCTTCATTGCAGTATATTCCGGTTACAACGGATCCCACGAAAACCCATCACTCCCACAAAAGGTATGCAACAAAACCGATGCTGCTACCAGCACTACAGAAATCAACGGAGAAAATTTGAAACAACACGGTGTAACGCGTTATATCAGGAAGCTTGTCTGCTCTAGTGCTACTCATTATTTTGCTGCTTAGTACTAACTAATCGTTGTTACTGTCGTAATYGTTTGCTAACAGAACTAACAGAAGCAATGGAAAGTCGGTTATCACCATGGGATTAGTCACTATCAGTGCGTTGGCGCTTGTGGATAGTAGTACCACCTAGTGMCATTGCAATGGTTTGAGCCATGGTAAGCCAACGTTSGTCTCTTGCCTCTTCGCGTTTCACTCGTGCAGCTTCCATCTCCTTTTCGCGTTTCACTCGTGCAGCTTCCATCTCCTCAGCGCGTTTTGCTCTTGCAGCTTCCATCTCATCAGCGCGTGTTGCTCTTGCAGCTTCCCTCTTGTCTTTTTCAGCATCCCTCTTATCCTGTTGCTGAAGGTATTCCTTAAGAACAGCATCCTGTTGAGCCATATCCTTCTTCAATCTTCCATATTGTCTCTTCTTCGGCATTGGTGGTGGCGCTGCCACGACAATGGGCTCCTCATCCTCGGTCGAATCAGCAGTTGACGCTGTCTTGTTGCTTGATTTGTTGCTTGATTTTGGCTCCACGAAGTCCTCATCATCCTCATCATCGATGTAACCTTTGACTGGATCATAGGTCTCCTCTCCATTTCCAATATTYGCCTTTATCCCAATCAATCGATGGGCCTCTCTTGCAAGCCTGACAGACTCAGGAATATTTGGGTTACCAGTCRGTGCCTTCTGCCTCCTCAATCGATTGAACTTGGTCTTAATGGAGTCCTTGCTCCTACCATAAGGCCAGTCTTGTCCATGTTTATAAACCACCATGTCCCAGTCACTCTTACCAATTGGGAGGATCTCCTTGATGAGGGTCATCAACGAGATGAGCTCATCTTCCGTGTAGTTTGCAGTACCACCCTTACGGCCAGTCTTCTTCTTCGTTGATTGCCCTCCCAGGGGAGGAGGGACCGGTGCAGCCGCTGGAGGAAAGCCTCCCCCATTGCAGGGAGGGATAGTAGTGTAAGGACCAGTAGGGGAAGGGGAAGGCATCTTTGCTYTCGGAATGAATATTGTGTGAGGAATTTTCCCCGCCGGCTTCCCTTGTTCTTGAGACAGCGCCTCCTGCAGTTGGTCCTCTCTTTGTCTCGATCGGAGATAAAGAAGAGCAGTGACTAAGACATGGGACATTGTACTTTGTCTGTCAAGTATGACGGCGCCGGCGGTGTTTTAAGAGGCAAGAGGCGCCTTGTCGATGTTTTAAGAGACATGTGCAATGTTCTATTAGCAACTANGCGTTCCTTCAGAGAAAGCTGATTGAGTTCGTACGCCAAGAGCGCATCGGTAGATTGGTGTGAGCCAATGTCGGCCTTCAGAAAATCGTGGGCGTYCTCCTCCTCGCCTCCGCCGAAGGAAGTCGTGGCTGCTGATGCTTGGTTAT